ATACTAATCGTTTAGGCACCGCTCAATAACATCAACTTAATGGCAACTGACTAGTTGAAATCAAATCAAAATATTCTCTATGACATAGTCCTGTTTCGTAAATCCTCCGCTGCTACACAAAAAGTTGGAAAAAAAATGAAAATAGAATGTACATTATTAAATCTATATCCAGTCTCTGATTCCAACATTTTTAAAGAAGAACATATAATTGTCAATATCATTAAAGCACTTAGGAATTATACAACGCTTGCTGCAGTCAGACAATTACTCAGTACCGATATCCCACGACAGGTCAATATTAGAAAGTTACCGAATTAAGTGCTCGTTGACTTCAGTTAACAAAGTTGCATCGTCAAGGGTATTTATACTTATAGAAACTATGAAAATCGGACAGTGTTTGTCTTCATTCATTTCATGATGAGAAAAAGTAGTGGATAATGTTCTTATTTGAAAAGAGAATTTCGAGATGTGTGATGGTGATGTGACCATGTGGTCATCCATTAAACGGCTATCTCAGTTTTCTACCCGGACGAACGGACATCAGGGTCTCTTTTACCCATTTTATTCTATTTTACGAGCTATTGTAGTGAATTACACGTTTTACTAAACGTAACATCATCATTTTATTTTTCCAAAAAAATATTTCACTGGTGAAAATGTTATTAAAACAACAATCTGTCCTAGTAAACGACCATTAACTTTCGTGTTCCTCATTCAAACAAAAAGAAAAAAGATAATAATGATTATGCCAGACTCGGCGCCTTGCATTTATTTTCTTTATACCATATATTATTTATGTCAATATCGAACAATTCTTTTTAAACAAATTCCCCCCATTTTTGGGGGGAGGGGGTGCGGTTTAGTTTGGGTTACATGGACATATATGTATAATGTATATAACATCGGAAGTATGTTTTGTCTCATGCTTGTCATATTGTGATAAAATGATTGACTTAGATAAAGGAGAAGCTATGTTGGAGAGAACTTAGCTATCACTTACAGAGTAACAACTTGTTTGTGATAGAAGCGACATTTCAGATACCACGTCAGACTATAGGTTTTACTATTGGTGATAAAGAATATCTGACTTTAATCATTATTTCATGTTACCATATGAAACATAAATGTTTTTATACACATATATATACATGGTATGGTACGCTGACCAGTTATGTCGTTCATTTTCGTGGTTTCCTACCTACTAATCGAAGCCTTTACTTTTAGATGCTTTCTGTCTTATCTAAAATGTTCCAATTAAGATAGAATAGGTTGCTTTAACAGTATAGTCACCAGAGGCTAGGTTGTGATGGAGCTTACCCTCTGTTCCCTATCTGTTAATATTGATACGAGTTGCCATTATATATGTAATTAAGACTCAGGTAAATAATACAAATACTCCTACGTTTTGTTGATGCACATGTTTCTTTATGAAAAAATAATTTTAAAACACAATAAACATGAATTCTTATCCTCTAGTTCTGGAGTAAGTCGAGTATGTTTTCAGTCGTTACGTTTGTAATTCCAAACGTACTTATGTATAATTCAGCTGTACCATAAACGTTAAAAAGAAAATCAAATTTAAAAAAAATCTTTATTCGCTTAGTCTGAGGGCAGAAATAATATTTGATGTGTTCTTGTGTTATTAATAAATACGATTTAATCGTACACCACTCGATATCAAACAGTGTATGGAAATAACCTGTGCTGTTCACACTTAAACAATAATTTATTTCACTCTCTCCACGCCCTAGTATTAAAACTAGCAGTATAACAATCAGATTTCTTTTTATTTTGTGTGTCACTCGAGTGTCAGTTTCATACATGCTACTTTAACTAGTAAACCTGCCACTTGGATGGTCCTTGATTCTTAACAGTTCTGATGAACTATTGGAGAAAATCAGTTAAGCAGAAAACGACCTTAAATTCGACGAAATGACCAACGGCAGATTACTCCGAGTATATGCATGTGCAACTGGAGACTCACGTGTGCACGGGACTCGACACGATGACCACCTGCTTGACCGATGCATTCACAGGTCTTTGTACTAAACTGGTTCACTCCTTTTTTAAAAATCTTTTCTGAGTGACTTATTCTTCAATAAAGACATCCAGATCTGATTAAGAACCGACAGTTCAATGAAAGGAGAAGTGACAAGTGTCTGTCACAGACAGCATTCACATTCTAAATACTTACAATCCCATTCTTATCACTATCTTAACTACATGTATCACAGACAAACATCACACTGGCACTAGTTCTATTATATTTGTGTTTTTTTGTTTTTTGTTTTGTTTTGTTTTTTTGTTTTTTTTTGGGGGGGGGTTTTTTTAGGGGGGATGTTGGGGGGGGGGGGCGGTGGGGGGAGGGGTGTTGTTGGGTTTATCGCTCCGTGTACATCCAGAGTCATTACATTATATCTTTCACAACATTTCTGTAAAAAGAAAAGGAACTCGCTCCAGTATCTAAATACTTTGTACAAATATTATTTATCGCCGATGAATGTTTAGGCTACGGCTGATAAGTTTAATTTTGCACAAGCAAATGTTAATCCAAATTTATTTAAAGACTTTCGATAAAACCAAATCGTATCATGATAACTTTTTAATGACACTTTTTTTCTCAAAAAATTAATAAATAAATAAATAACTGTCGCATTTGCATTTTAACAGAATAAAAATGTATGAAAAGGAATGACGAAAGCCGCTCGAGAAAGGGATATGTGAAATTGTAGTTAATATCTGATAAAACATGTTAAAGAATTTATCTATTATTTTCACCCTTGTACCAATATGCACGAATTCGTCTCGTGTTAATTCGCCCTCTCTATACGTGGATGAAAAGGACGAAAATAATAACAGGGGAGAAATTTCCCGGAATATAGCGTAGGTGTAGCGGTGATAAGAAACAGGAAACATGACTGAATTAATGAACATTATTAATCTATATCTGTACAAAGTGCTCAATGGGTCAAGTGCATGACCATCGAGTACAACATAATCATGTAGTGAAGATAAAATCTCAAGATGTTTGTACAAACCAGTATATGTAATGAATATGTCCGCTTTCTTAGAAAGTCATTCGTAGTAAGTAAACATATTCGTAGCACAGAACCTCCGGATCATTCTTCAAAGAAAGCGACAGCAATTTCCTTATTTTGTCCGAGAAACCAATAAATATTTGCTAAAATATCTTCATGTGAAACGTGGATTGTATCAATCACGTGTTTGACCCGGTTTAATTTCCCGTGTTTTCAGAGGTAATACATTATCAAACGATTTCCTGGTTTTTAAGATTTTTTGTTGATTTTTCTCATTGAGCTTTTCGAAATAGACTCGAATAATATAGCAGCTTTAAGTCAACAGAACATAGGAGAAATGTCCACACAAGCGTAACACACAATGGATGTGTCGGAATGCTTATTTAAAGTTGACGGAGGGGGACCTCTAGATGTTTACATCGGTAAATACGACCACCAAACATGCACCAAATACGATACAATGGCAATTCTTATCGAAGTGTCTGAAGGACAAAAATGTCGGCTACTTGTGATGGCGGAAAACACTCATTACAGAAATGATCTCCTTTAACAGAGAATGTGTGAGAGAGATAATCGGCTCACCAGTGCTTAACGCAAATTTACAGCACTTCTGAGACTGAGTACATAAACAAAACCCTCTGGTCACTAAGTACACTTGTTAAGTCTGAATTGATGATCTTTTACTCTTCAAACAGATATATAACACAAGAGGGCCTTAATGTAACAACGATGGATGACGTCACAGCCCTTGTCCTATTCATGATAATTGAAGTTAATAGGATAAAACGAAAAACAAACAAAGGTCAATTTATTTTTCTCTATCTCTTCGAATTTTCTACAGTTTCTAATATACAGAATCGTGTGATTGACACCAATCATTTCTCTGCTGTCTTATAAACTGTATAGTATGTATGAGGCTGTAAATCATGGTGTAGAAACATGGGTGTATGTTGTTATGTGTATAAGACAAAGTAACGGTTTTTATTAAGTGTAGATGCGGGCAGTTTATCATATGAAAATGTGAGTACGGAATTAACAATTCCGAAGAAGGTCCAGATTTTACTAGCATACAATTAAGGTATTTTGTAGTATTTTTTTAATTGGCACATCATATTCCATGGTGACATGGTAACTTCACTGAAGGAAAACGGGACAAACCGTTACCCCGCTTCTTTAAGCTGTGATATGGTAACTAAATATTGTATCTGTAGGAAAACGGGCCTCCCAACTGTCCCTGGCTCTATGGACTAATATTTTCTCGGTGGCATGGTAACTTGATTTTTTTTTTCGGTGATTACATGCTAACTTACATGTAGAAAAACAGGCAGCACTTCCCCAGTCGGCCAGTATTTCTCTGACGACTAATAGTGTACATAAAGAATAACGGGCCACAGAGCTGCAACTGATAATATGGGCTAATATTTTCCCGATGGCATGATAACTTTTGAAAATGTACCTGTAGGAGAGCGGGATACATGACTTCAGTGATAACACACATAATAAAGATATTGTAAGTTACCTGTGCGAGAGCGGGTCTCATGACTTCAGTGATAACATACATAATGTACATATTGTAAGTTACCTGTAGGAGAGCGGGATACATGACTTCAGTGATAACATACATAATGTACATATTGTAAGTTACCTGTAGGAGAGCGGGATACATGACTTCAGTGATAACATACATAATGTACATATTGTAAGTTACCTGTAGGAGAGCGGGTCACATGACTTCAGTGATAACATACATAATATACATATTGTAAGTTACCTGTAGGAGAGCGGGTCACATGACTTCAGTGATAACATACATAATGTACATAATTGTTAATTACCTGTAGGAGAGCGGGTCACATGACTTCAATGATAACATACATAATGTACATGTTGTAAGTTACCTGTAGGAGAGCGGGCCACATGACTTCAGTGATAACATACATAATGTACATAATTGTTAATTACCTGTAGGAGAGCGGGCCACACAGCTGCCCCCACTGCTATGGGTATAAGATACGGTAGAAGCTGGAGAATTAGTAGTTACGGTGTCGTTACTGTATCCAGTACTAACTGCAACACCTGAAAAATAGTACGATTGATAAAGAAACGACAAGCGAGACAACTCTCGTAAAAACAGATTTTCCAGGTTAAATACAATTTCTCATTAGCTTTTGTGATGGAAGTGCAATTCAAGTAGAAATCGTAAAGTCCAAGCAGTGAATGACATTTTAAATGACTACGACAAAATTTTAAACAGAAGAAGAGACAGGCGTACCGAAAAGTGCGTTTTACATGTGTCGTGGTTAGTTATGTTTATTTTCAATACAGAATCTTAAAAAAAAATCTTCTATACATGGCTAAGTGATATATTAGAATGATTTAACTATTATCTGCTGGCCTTGGAAATGTTTGAATTTTTGTCGCAGATGTGGTTAAGGAAGGATATTGTTAATTCATGGAAAGGATAAACTATAAGTGGAAACATTAAGACTTGGTATATTAACCCCGGAGCTATGGGTACACTCTGTCCCGGACATAATTTGAAGCAGGATATGGTAGCCCTCGTTTGGAAACTTTCATACTGTCTTGAACTCAGTTTAAAGAATGATATATTGTCCAAACTTACCATCCCGGAGGTAGTTTAGGTGGGTGAGGAGACAGTCCGCCACACTTGTGTTCCACCCACAGATCTGAACGAAGTGGGTGTGGTCATTTGTGAGATTGCACAACTCCCTCCCGTCGATTTGAGGGAACTTGCTGACGTCAAGATCGCGTAATTTGTACTCCCTAACCGCCCATTCAAGCCATTCACGAACGTGTGATGTCGTCCAGTGACTGGGATCTGTATGTGAAGACGGGAAGAAGGAAGGGATAAATAAAACATAGCAAAACAACACATATACTCCTGTCACTTGTAGATAAATTGTGTGATCAAGAACCTGTGGAGGTCACAAACATACATGATCTATATAGACAGACATTTCTAATATACTAAAGACTATTTGAAAAATAAAGGTATACAGTTGTTTCTGAACGTCATATGTATATATAAATATATATAATATAGAGTATTTATACATGTCTCAATTGATTTCATTTTGTATAATTTTAAGACTTTTACTGTTAGAAAGCCGCACATCTACATTGTATCTTTAAACAAAAGGTAATGTATAGAAAGAGTTAGGTCATGTAAAAACTATAACGTAAGGAAGAAATGATTAGAAAACATTACAAAAAGTGTTTGTTTCGATAAAGTTTTACTTCCTTATGACAGCTTATTATGCGGATCCGGCTAAAAACTTGACAGTGTTCTTGTATAAGTATATAACACACAGGCACTCGAGGCCAGGATATTATTTTTTAAACGTTGATTTTTGTTTTAGCACTCATGACTGACGTTATTTAAACGAAATATCAGCAGTTTTGCTAAAACAAAAATCAACGTTTAAAAAATAATATCCTGGCCTCGAGTGCCTGTGATATAACACTGTCAGATCCTGATCCATAGAACAGCGCTCTGAGCCTGAGGTTAATGTACTCAGTATCTATATGGATTTATGTTAACACAAACAAGAACCGTGTTATACAATTATCATATTAGTTTCTGAGGGTTTAAAAAAGGGAGTAAACTCTGTATTTGATATAACAAGTATTATCATTGCATTCATAACGGCCCGTCAACACATAAAAAGTCATTAGGGCCATCAACCGGTGAAAGACACAGCGATCCAAAAGGAAATAACATCAAACAACAAAAGACAAATCCTAAAAATCTAAAATGGTTATATTAACATAAAAGATTAAAATGGTAAGTCATATGATATAACAAAGAACCAATGACTATTCAATGATGAAAATATTTTATTAATTTGTCACACATGTTTTAAATCACACTTTACATAGTAAAATATACATGCAAAATTTCCCAAGGCATTATATGACTTACGTGGCGCTAGAATTCATACCAAATAAAACATGCAAGATATCTAGACATAAAAAGTGAAATAGAACTCGTATACCCCAATCTGCTCCGATACGATGGCGAGAGAAGTGAGAGTGTGGTTGGGTCTATCCCTACCGATAAATCGCCCCCCTCCCCCGCCTCCCCCCGCCATCATCGGAATCTAAATGACGTTGTAAGTGCATCAAATGTCATAAAATAAGTGAAGTATAATCACTAACATCATAATTGAAAGACAGTGAACGATGAAAGCGTCATGATATTGCCATCAGAAGGATATAAAACATCCAGATAAATGTAATTTTATATAAACAGATAGTGATTTTATATAGATGTCAAACTAATGTCTATGTATTATAAAGAATCAGTTTGTACACCCAACATAATAATGTATAGATATTACACTGATCTATCGAAATTAACAATACAGCTGTCAATATATTATCTATAATATAGTAACAATTTTGCATTTAATTAATTGTATCCATATAAGGAATGTAAGGTGGGAGAATCTGTTAATTAGTTATTTACATTTTAACAATACACTGTTACTTTGTAGTAAAATTCAAAAGAGATTTATCTTACATGACCAGTTAATGTCGTACATACGGATTTTAAAAACATTTTTTTGCCTTTTGTATTTTCTCTAAAAAATCCTTTATTTCACCAAAGAAACTAACAAAAGAAACCCAAGTGTTAGGAGTATGAATGTCATGGTTCCCAGTATGTCCTCACAGATTGGAAATCATCGCCTTAAAACAGTTGGACGTTGGCAATGAATGTAGGTCCCAGCAGGATGTAGATCCAACATTTCGATGGCCCACCAACTCTGACAATTAACCCATGTCCAAAATGGAATTCGGAACTCTTGTTTGGCTGGAGGCGTATGATTATACATTAGCAACCTTTTTTTTATTTGAGCTGACACGTGACTGCTTGGATTTTTCTGTTGACAAGCAATTAACATCTGCTGACCAAGTCAGTGGTCAAGAAAATTAAGCCATTGTCCAGTTGATGGTCATCTAGCGAAAACATGTGTCATAATTCACATATCAAGTCCGGAGTAAGATGGCGAACAAAGGTTGACTTCAGTGTAAGCAAACATCCATTGTGTCGGTTGTAATAGCAAAGGTCGGAGATTTGGTTTCCGGACATTTTACCATTGAATGTTCAAATATTTTACATAAAAAAGGCGACAAACTACAACATGGCCAATATCTTGATGCTTTAAAAGCGGTCGTCCAATATTAGCATACATGGGATTCTTTGTACTTTTTGATAGTTTTGTAAACGAATTCATTATAAGGTATGGGTAGATTTTTCTTTTTAATCTTGCTTTCTGTTAACTGTTCTACGACTAGAATCTTGCTGGCTTTATAAACTTCGGACTAAGTTGGACATAACAGTGGTCTGTGTTGTCAGTATACAAGTTCCATATGGTGTAGTTATGCCTTTGTGTGATAACGGTCTATTGTAACGGTGCAGAGGTTTAGTTAAAGCCGACCAAGTGTGCTCTCAAACTACTTGACTACGTATAAAAGTAGCATGGGAAAGTGAGGTGATATCCGTGTATTTCTTTGTCTTCGTTTCCACAGAACGACTGCTCTGTCTCCTGTCTAACATAATTCACTGTAAATATTACAAGAACCAAGAAATATAGAAATAGGTAGAAAGCAGAAAATCTAGTCTGACAACTTATTGACAAATCTGGGGCCTAATCGACCATATTCAATGTATATGTTTTTACACTTAACTGGTAATTTTCATCAAAATCTTAATTGTAACTTATTCATTCAGTTTTTACAGTGAATTTTCTGATTTCTTTAATCAAATAATTCCTTTTTGAGAGTGGGGCTGGTAAACTGCTTTCCTCGGAGTATTGGATACCACAACTTAAGATGTTTTTGTCCCTTATAAAGGGCCCACGGCATCCATCGGCCGAAGGGATTATCAACATACAAAATTTACACCAACGCTCTCGATTTTAGTTTATAACTTTGTATTTGTTTTATGTTCTATGTATGTGTTGTAATTTATGTAATATCTGTGTCTTGATAAAAGGACAGATTGCCTCGAAAGTTTGACAATTCACTTGTCACGGTACTGTCGTTATTACTTCATTGATCATATATCTATCCCAGTGAACACATGTTTATTAGGATGCAGTAACATATTGTCGATATTACTTACTAGATCTATATATATATAACCTCACAAATACACAAATACTCAGGTTAAAGCCAAAATTCACGGGGCCTGTCATATTTCCCGGAAATAATTCTGTATCTCTCTGTATCATCACCACGTGATCTCTGATAATCTGTTTAGTGGTCGTAAGAGAGCTGTAATGCTTTTTGATGTGAAACATTTTAATTATTCTGATTACTTTCTTTTCCAGAGTTGACTGGAGAATGATGTATGGATATTTTTTGTAAATTGTAGATAAGACTTTGTTACCATTATTCAAACCATTACAGCGATATTAAATGTTTACACTTCTATACCTGTATCACACTACAACTCAATACTAACATACACAGAGAGTAACTTTTGTTTATTTTATCTAGGAAACAGTATTGAATATAGAAATCATTTGCTAAATAAAAATCCCGTATTCTGTCCGTTATACTGTTTCCTTCGTGAACTTGTAAGGTGCGTGGTACAATTCAAATAAACTCAATCTAAGCTAAGGTATCGTTTAACACGTATTTATCAATATATATCACACCCAACTAGTCGTTAACAAACATTCTCCGTTACTCTCACATACCTACAGTTTATTTTGTTACAGTTGGGAAAGTATACAAGATTCTTACTTTCATACCTCTTCACAAGAACTTCAAACTTTTATACAGATTGTGGTGTACAGAAATGTCACATTTTGACGTAAGGGAGCTAACTCATACTCTCAAGTGATATGAATGTCTCAAGTAAACATTTTTTGTGGTCAAAATTTAGAACGGCGAGCGATGTCTTTTAGAATCAATTTCCTGTAATTTTCCTATACTAAAATGAAACAATCCCCCCCCTAGTTGCAACAAAAGTATGAAGTGGAACATTATAACTGTACTGTGTAAGGCATGTGCTTATTGCATACACATTTTGTGAAACACTTCTGTCTTCATCGTGGTTATGTCACGAGGAAAACACATGTTAAATATGAAAGCCATACCTCTCGTGGTACAATAATTATGGCCAATGTTGATTTTTTTTCAATTGTAGATCAAAGGTGACGGTCTAGGTGATACGGTCAATAATTTTGGTACCACCGGAGAGGTCTTGTCACATGGAACACATATGCCAAATATGAAAGCCCTACCTCTTACGGTGTTATGGTTATGGACAGGGTTAAAGTTGACAACAGAAAGATAAACAGACAGCGCAGAAACTATCTGTCCCCGATCATCTCGATCCGGAGGTATAAAAACTAGACAAAGACAATGTACTTCGCAACAGTACATTACGTTACATGTAAATGTGACTCCGCTTCGCTCAAGAAACAATTAAATAATGACACCATTGTTAAAGATAAAATAAAATAAAGATTGATATGTCATAACATAGAACTGTAACAATGGCGTACAGATGAAGTAGAACTTCCGTATAGTGCGGCTGAATATGACAATCCGCCATCGAGAGGGTGGGAGAGGCATCGCTCCTATTTCATATCAAAGATTCATTCTCATGTACCGTGATTTATTAGGTTCAACGTTACACGTTACTCAACACGATCAGTCTGCCAGCTAACAAGTGAAATAGAACATGTTGCTTATTTAACCATTGCTATGCATGTGTTATCCTTAGGTATGATCAATACTGATTCAAAACATACATTATCCAAGTTATTTATCATCCTTAACTGAATTATCGACTCATCAGTT